TGACGAGAGGCGTGGAGTCAGCCACGTGCACTTAGCGATACGGGGGATCGAGGCGTTAGTGATATGAGAGCTCGGAGGAGGCCAGGGACGCTGGCATCGAGGAGGAGACGCATACCCAGGAAGAAGCGGCAGGGAGGTGAAGGAGAGAGAGAAGAGAAAGAGGAGACCGAGAGAGTGAGGAAGGACAGTAGAAGAGAGAACGCGGAGAGAGAGAGAGAGAGAGATAGAACGAGATTGGGGAGGGGAGAGAGAGGAGGAGAGCAGAAGGGTAGGAGAGAGAGAGAGCTGGCCGGACGGAGAGAGAGCAAGTAAGAGAAGAGGAGGAGGAGAGACGAGAGTCCCCGAGGAGAGAGAAGCGAGAGAGGCGAGAAGAGAGACACAAGAGGAGGAGAGGAGGAGAGAAGGGAGAGAGACACAAGATAGAGACAGACAGAGACAAAGAGGAGAAGAGGAGAGACCAAAGATAGAGACAGGACAGAACAGACAAGAGACAGAAGGAGAGAGAGAGAGAGAGGAGGATGACGAGAGAGAGAGATGAGAAGGAGAGAGAGACGAAGAGAGGAGGAGAAGAGAGAGAAGACTGTTGGGAGAGACGGAGGACAGACGAGAGGAGATGCGAGGAGAGAGGTAGGGAATTAAAGAAGACGAACGAGATGAGCGAAGAGAGAGAGACGAGATCGACCCACGATACGAGAGAGAGGAGAGATGAGGAGAGAAGAGAGAGCTGAGGAGAAGAGAGAGAGAAGAGAGAGAGAGAGAGAAGATGAGAGAGAGAGAGAGACGAGAGAGAGAGAGAAGGAGAGAGAGAGAGAGAGAGAGAGAGAGGTGAGAGAGAGAGAGGAGAGAGAGGAGTGAGAGGAGAGAGAGAGAGAGAGAGAGAGAGAGAGAGAAAGAAGAGAGAGCAGAGGAGAGAGAGAGAGAGAGACGAGAGAGAGAGAAGAGAGAGAGAGAGGAGAGAGAGAAAGAGAGGAAGAGAGAGAGAGAGAGAGAGAGAGAGAGAGAGAGAGAGAGAGAGATGAGAGATGAGGAGAGAGAGAGAGAGAGAAGAGAGAAGAGAGAAGCAACGAGAGCCAGAGATATGAGGAGAGAGAGAGAGAGAGAAGAGAGCGAGAGAGGAGAGAGAGAGAAAGAGAAGAAGAGAGAGAGAGAGACGAAGAGGATAGGAGAGCGGACGAGCTTGACGGGAGAGAGAGAGACAGAAGGAGAGAGACAGAAGATGGAAGAGAAGCGAGGCGAGAGAGAGAGAGATGAGGAGAGATAGAGCGAGAGAGAGTGAGAGAGAGCAGATAAAGAGAGAGAGACGATCGAGGAGAGCAGAGAGATGACGAGAGAGAGACCACGAGAGAGACGAAGAGAGAGACGAGAGAGACGATGATGAGAGATTGAGAGAGAGAGATCGAGCAGCGAGAAGGGTGCGAGGAAACCCTAATCAGGGATCCCAGAGCTTACAGCCGCTGGTGATCAGGAAACATTACCTCGCCTAACATCGCCATCACCTCGCTCATCATCTCCTTCGTCCGAGTAATTTGCCGTCCCCAGCATCCCGGCATCCGCATCAGTATCCCGCATCTTAGCATCCCAGTATCCCGGCATCTTAGCATCCCAGTATCCCAGTCCCAGTATCCCATCCCGGCCATGCTTTAGCACCCAATATTCGGGCATCTCAGTATCCCAGACATCCCGACAGAATCCCACATCCCGTATCCTAGCTATCCCGACATCCCAGTATCCTAGTATCCCGACATCCCAGTATCCCAGCATCCCAGGTCCCAGAATCCCAGTATCCAAGACATCCCCAGTATCCAGTATCCGAACATCCAGTATTCCAGATCCCGACATCCCAGTATTCCCGACATCCAGTATCCTATCCCAGTATCCCGACATCCCAGTATCCGACATTCCCAGCTCCGACATATCCCAGACATCCCCCCAGTATCCCGACATCCCAGTATCCCGACCCGATATCCCAGTATCCCGAACATCAGTATCCCAGTATCCCGACATCCCAGTATCCCGTCCAGTATCCCCCAGGCATCCCAGTATCCCGACATCCCCAGCTATCCAGTATCCCGACATCCCAGTATCCCGAATCCCAGTATCCCAGTATCCCGACATCCCAGTATCCCAGTATCCCGACATCCCAGTATCCCAGTATCCCGACATCCCCAGTATCCTGGTATCATCCCGACATCCAGTTATCCCAACATCCCAGGTATCCCGAACATCCCACTATCCCAGCATCCCGACATCCCAACATCCCAGAATTCCCGACATCTCAGTATTCTCCAGTGACACTCAGGATCCCGCATCCCAGATCCAGCATCCCAGTATCCGACATCTATCCCAGATCCCAGCACCTCCCCTCCGCATCACAGCATCCCCTCTGTTTCCAAGCAATCCCAGCATCCCGACATCCTGGTATCCTTGCATCCCAGCCTCCCAGCATCCCCTTCGCATCCCCATCCCCAGCCTCCCAGCATCCTAGATCCCCGGCACCTCCCCCCCCCCCCCCCGAACCCCACCTGTTCTCCTCTCCCCAAACACACCCTCGGTAGGTTACTCATCGTGCTCCCTCCCCTCCCCCCCTCCCCTAGCCCTCACCCCCCTTCCTTCCCTATCGCTACCTCTCATGTTTATCCCTCCTGTTGTTGTTTCTTTTTTTTTTCTTTTTCTTCTTTTTTCTCTCCCTTTTCTTTTTCTCTCATCTTATCCCTCCTGTCGTTCTTCCCTTTTTATTTTCTCTTTTTCTTCTCTCCCTTTTCTTTCTCTCATCTTTATCCCTCCTGGCATTCCTTTTTTTATATTTTCTTCTTCTTCCTCTCTCCCTTTTCTTCTCTCATCTTTATCCTTTCTGCCCCCCCCCTTTTTCCTGTTCTTCTTCTCTCATCTTTATCCCTCGTGTCATTCCTCTTTGTTCTTTTCTTCCTTTTCTTCTCTCCCTATTCCTTCTTCTCACATCTTTATCCCTCCCGTCATTCCTCTTTTTCCCTTTTCTTCTCTTTATCTCATCTTTATCCTCCCTGGCATAACACCTTTTCCTATTCTTCCTTTCCTTCTCTCATCTTTATCCCTCCTATCGTTCTTCCCCTTTTTTTTCTTCTTTTTCTTCTTCTCTCCTCGGTCACCCACTCAGCCTGTCCTATCTCCCTGCGATTAAAATTCCTCTCTCTATTCCATTATTTGAAAAGTTATAAAGGTCAACCGCTGTGTGATGGAGTTCAGAGAGCGGAGGAAGAGTGGGAAGACAGAAGGAGAGAGAGAGAGAGAGAGGAGAGAGAGAGAGAGGGGGGGAGAAAAGAGAAAAGGAGAGAGAAGGGGAAAGAGAGGGGAGGGGGGAGATGGGAGAGAGAGAGAGAGAGAGAGAGAGAGAAGAGAAGAGAGAGAGAGGAGAGAGAGAGAGAGGAGAGAAGGAGAGAGAGAGAGAGAGAGAGAGAGAGAGAGAGGAGGGAGATGGGGCGAGATAGAGGGAGAAAATGAGAGAGAGGAGAGTGGAGCGAGATAGAAGAGAGAGGAGGATAGAGAGGAAGAAAGGATAGTGAGGACAGTTATATATCAGACACACACACACACACACGCACACATACAAACACGAGCACACACACACACACACACACACACACACACCACACACACACACACACACACACACACACACACACACACACACACACACACATATATATATATTATATATATATATATAGTATATATAGAGAGAGAGAGAGAGAGAGAGAGAGAGAGAGAGAGAGAGAGAGAGAGAGAGAGAGAGAGAGATGTGATGTGATTAGTTTGTGTATGTTTAGTTAAAAACTAAACACTCGCATTCATAACGAAACACAGAGAGACAAACAAAGAATAAAACAAATTAAACAAGGAACTTTTACCTCTCAAAAAAGAAAAAAAATAAACCAAATAAAAAAAAGGAAAAAAGAAAAGAAAAGAAAACTAAAACTAAAGAAAGAAAAGAAAAGAAAAGAAAAAAAAAGGAAAAACATAAAAAGAAACTAAAGTGGTTAGTCATTTCCAGTGTCGAAATTAACATGAGTTTTTTCCTCCCCTTCACTAAGACCAGACTAATAGGGAAACAAGACCACGTCGCCTCAAGAAATTAATTTGCGTTCCTTTGGCAGCTGAAGAAAACGCGGGGCCTCAAGTTCCCGCATTAAGTCTTCATTTTTTTTTTTCGTTAGTTTAAAGTTTTTTTTTTTTTTTTTTTGGGGGGGGGATTTTTTTCTTATTTTCTTTGAATTTATTTTTGCTTATTATCTTATTTTCTTTGAATTTATTTTTGCTTATTATCTTATTTTCTTTTTATTTTTTATTTTTTTGTGTGTTTTTTTGAAGAAGGAAACAGTAAGTCTTCACTTTTTTTCGTTAGTTTAAAGTATTTCTTAAAATCTAATGATTTTTCTTCTTTTAATATATTTCGTTTATTATCTTATTTTATTTGTATTATTATTCTTCGTGTTTTTTTTTCTCTTCTTCTTTAGGACACTCGTCAATGAAGGAGGGTTCGCTTTGATACTGTTATTGTAAGTGTTCTCATTATTATTATTCCCATGTTTTCCTTTTGGATTTTTATATACTTTTTTGTTGTTGCTGTTATCATTTCTGTTACAGTTTTTATTTCTTTTTTCTTTTATTTCTATCATCATCGTCAACATAATTATCAGCATCATCTTCATCAACACCATTATCATTGATGATGTTTTATGTCATTGTTATTATTACTAACGTTGTCATTACTGTAATAGTGTCACTGATTTTATAGCCATTATCATAATTACTATCATCACTATCGTCATTATCATTATCATTAATATAATTATCAATTTGATAGTAATAATAGTAATCATTATTATTATTACTGTTATTATCATGATAATAATCATTATTACTATTATTATTATCATGATAATAATCATTATTACTATTATCACCATCATTATTATCTTTGTTATTCTTATTATCATAATGATTGTAATAATAATAGTATTAATAATAGTAGTAGTAGTAGCAGCAGTAGTAATGCCAATAACAATCTAAATACTAATAATATCAATAGTGATGATAATAATGATAATGATGATACTAATAGCATTAATGATAATAGTAATAATAATTATGATCCTTACAATCACCATCATCATTGTTATAATTATTATAATGATCATTTACATTATTATCATATCACAATCATCATCATTATAACTATCATTATCAACACACAAAAAGATACGAAACATATAAAATAATAGGATCTCATTATCACCACACTGAACTTTCATTCTTCTTAACAAGAGGGTACAAGGCGAGCAGCAAAAGTGAGGTATATCGCCACAACCAAATGAGCTTTTAATGTCGGCGGGAAAATGGGATGGAATACTTTTTAAGAGTATTTGAACCCACAAACTCTTTTAGAAACGAATCCTTTGTAATTCTTTGGCTTATAGTGATTATGGTAATGGGAGGGATGGTGGAGATAAAGGTGACAATGGAAATGGCACGGTAATGATGGTGGTGATGATGGTGGTGGGAGGTGATGATAGTGAAATGATAATTGGTGATGGTAATCATCTTTATTATAAAGAGGAAGGAGAAAAGGAGGATACTAATGATCGTGACAACAACGCTGACGACAAGGATACAATAGTTAACAACAACAACAGTGAAACAAACTTAAATAATAAACAACAATAAAATGATAATACCATTGTGAATAACAACAAGAAAACTAATAACAGCTCCAGCGTCACAATCCCAGGGCGCGCGTGTGTAAAACCTCGCGTGCAATATCATCCTTATCACAGCCCTCCCTCGCAGATCCTCGGTGACGTCATTCCCCGCCAGAGGACAGATTTCGCGCCTTACAAAAACGGGATGACATCGAGACCTGCCACTTTCCCCGGGATTACGCGGGTCTTGCGTCGCCTACACGGCCAGCCTCTCCTTCGGGGGCGTTTCTTCCGGTGTGATTTGGCCACGCCTTTTCCTTGCTCTCTTGGCCCCCGGAGTGGTTGGGGCTGTGCCATGTGGTTTTGCTTTTGCATCGCACACACACATGAATACACACGTACATACATATTTTACTTATGTATATGTATGTATAAAGATAATATGAATAATAATAATGAATAATGATAATGATAATGATAATGAGTAATGATAATGATAATGATATAATAATGATAATGATAATGATAAATGATAATAGATAATGATAAATGATAAATGATATAATGATAATATAATAATGATAATATGATAATAATAATTTGATAATATAATAATAATGATAAGGATAAATATAAAAAAAATGATAATAATAATTTTCTTGTCTGGTATATCCTTTTTTTTAGATAATTTTTTGAACACTTTTCCTTTATTTAAGGAATCGCGATCAAGATGCAGAGAAATTGATTTTATGCGGCTGAATGACTACAAAATCTTGATTGTATCTTGATGATACACTTGGTGGTTCGAGATGAACGAGTTAAGGCGACATAGAGGTTTATATAAGCAAAAAGGAGATAGAGAGACAGAAAGAAAGAAAGAAAAAGCTACATATTCATTATATCGCTGGTAGAATGGTGATATATTATCATCATTATCCTGTTATTATTCGCTTGACATCAGACGTATCTGAATGATAAACGTATTTGATGACCGTCTCCAGATCACATTCTAAGACATTAACAACAGCGATAATTAAAGCGATATTAATATGAATGGAGGTGCGATCAAGCGACAAAAGATAAAGAAGGAATAATAATGACAGGGTTACGAATAGGAAAATGAAGTAATAGAAGAGGTCAATAAAGACGAAGTAAGAGACAAAGAACAAGTCGAAGAGAGATAGGACAGAGGAAATCAAGAAAATGAGGATAAAGGGAATAAAGAAGAAGAGGGAACAAAAAAAGAAGAAAAATAATAAAGAAGAAGAAGGAACAAAAGGAGAAAAAGTAGAAGAAAAAAAGGGATAAATAAGCAAAGGATAAAGACCAAATCAAAGAAGGGAACGATAAAGACCAGATAGAGGAATAGCAAAGAAGACGACGAAGATCAAGAGTAGAAGGAAAAGAAGAAGGAGAAAACCAGGAAGAGAAAGCTGAAGACAAGAACATAGTAGAAGTAGAGAAGGATAACGAAGAGGAAAGACAGAAAAGGAAAACTTGGAAGAAGCTTATAATGAAGAACACAAAATCGAAAGCGGAGACCGAGAAGAAGAAGGGGTTGATGAAGGAGACGAAGATAGACTAAACAAAGTGAAAAATGACAAGAAAACGAATAACAAAGAAAACGGAGAACAAAGAGAAGAAGAACGGGACGACAAAAAAGAACAACAAAGCAAATAAAAAAACACTAACTAACTAGATAATGCATAAAAAAAGAAAAAAAAGAAAAAAAGAAAACGGGAACAAATCAGAAAACGGAGCAAAAGAAAAGGAACGGGAAACTAAACAAAACGGAACAAAAAGAAAAAAA